AGGGTGAGCCCGGTGCCGGGCCTGAAGGGCGTCGGTTCGGGCTCTGCGCTTGGGATGGACGAGCCTGGCAACTGCACGGCGCGCCGGGGGGCTTCGTGCTGCAAGTAGAGGCGCCGGCGGCGGTCTTGACCCCGTGGCTGATTCCGTTGCCCACCGCAGGCTGGCTGCGGGCTCTGGGCGCACTAGTCCTGCTGGCTCTGTCGGCGCTGTTCAGTGGCCTCCGCCTGGCCGTGCTGTCGCTCGATCCGATGGAGCTGCGGGTACTGCGCAACAGTGGCTCGGCTGCAGAGAGGGACCAGGCACGCAAGGTAGAGGCTGCGCGCGGCCGAGGTGGAAGCGGCACTTACCTGCTGTGCACACTGTTGCTCGGACAGGCGGGTGCCAACGCCACGCTGGCGGGCTGGTTATGTGCTGCTCTACAAGCCAGTCACAGTTTCCTGCCCGAAGTAAGCCAAGGTGTGCCGTGGCTGCCTGTCCTGCTCTGCACCGGTGTCGTCTTCCTGGGTGGCGAGGTATTGCCCTACTCTGTTTGCTCCCGCCATGGGTTAGCCATTGCTGCACACACGCTCTTTCTCACCCGCCTGCTCATGGCTGCCACCTTCCCTATCTGCTATCCACTCAGCCGTTTGCTAGATTGGGCCTTGCATCAAGAGCTGAGCACCTTCTCCACGAGGGAGCGCCTGCTGGAGACCCTGCGGGCTGCTGACCCCCATGGTGATCTTGTGAGTGAGGAGCTAGCCATGGTACAAGGTGCGCTGGAGTTGCGCACCAAGGTGGTTGAGGACATCTTGACACCCCTGAACGATTGTTTTATGTTGCACTCTGATGCCATACTTGACTTCACCACCATTTCTGAGATTCTTCGCTCAGGCTATACCCGCATCCCTGTATATGAAGGTGAGCGACGAGACAACATTGTCGACTTGCTGTTTGTCAAAGACTTGGCCTTCGTGGATCCTGATGACTGCACTCCACTGCAGACAGTTACCCGCTTCTATCACCGCCCGCTGCACTGTGTCTTCCATGACACCCGCCTAGATACGCTGCTCGAGGAGTTCAAGAAGGGTGAGGGCCCGGGGCCCCAGCCACTCGCCTCCTGCCAGCATCACATGCCTCTCTGCTCCCTGTGCACCCTGCTTGCGAGGTACCCTGGGATCCCACTGTGCCCCCTCCTGCACTGGTCTACCCTCTTCCTGTAGCCTCGGTATTGTGGCTGAATTCTTGGAACAGCACACCAATGTGTGTGTATGTGTGTGTGCATGCCCATTTATCACATATGGCTCATGTGTGCATGCCCATTTATCACATATGACTCATGAAAGACACTGGAAGTATCCAAAAAATCTTCCAAATCGGTCTACCATGATGAACTAAGGAATGTTCTCCTGAAACTCTTTGGTAGCATTCTTTCCAACTGGTTCCACTATTTGTGTGAACTGACATGCTGTTGTCAATCTTCCTGCTTACATATTTATGTATTTCCATTCAGTGCGCAGAAACAATGAGCTGATTTTGGTGTGTCATTTCCTTGCCTTCAGTTGTAAGGAGGAATGAGCCATAATTTTCCTGTTCCAGCAAAGTGTTAGGAATGTTGCAAGACACACTTGCTATGAGGATATGAAGCTATCATATGTTAACTCTGGTCCATACTGACTCAGAAAATACAAGTTTTAAAGCCCAACATAACTAGAGGACACCAGGTTGGAAAAGACTGTCCAAAGTTAACTGGCAGTAGTTCCCCAGGCCTCAGACGGGGCGGTAGTTCCCCAGGGCCTCAGTCTTTTCCAGTCCTATCTGGATATTCTAGGGATCAGATTGGAGTCTTATACATAATGCATGTGCTGTAGCATCAAGCTTTGAATCATCTGCAACGTGGAGTCTGTTAATTTCTTGTCCTAATATTAGTTGTGAACCTGTCTTCAGTAGCAAAATTATTGTAGGACAATTAACCCAGTCTTTATGTCTTCTATACTATATTCAGACTTGGCACTGAACAGTATCTAATTTGTTAATATGGAGGCAAGAAAGAAAACGGGTGCAAGAAATTGTAACTAATAACTATAAGCAGAGTAACAGAGCTTCAGCTCTTTGCAAACTCACTCTTTAAGAATAACTAATTCAGGTGAGATTGTGGAGATGTATGGAGTAATTCAAGAAAACACATCATATATTATCAGTGTTATGTTTAATTTGGATTTGTACATAGTGTATACAGAACCAGCAGACTTGAGAATTTTGCACACATTTAGTGGGATGGTCTTTAGCTCCCATAATCCTACAGTCAGTGTGACCATCTTCCATGCTTGCTGGGAACTGTAGGACTTGAAATCCAAAACATCTGGAGGGAAGATTGTGGAATGCTGATACAGGTTATATGTAAGGGCATTGCTCACCTAAATTGAGAAAGACAGGCATTTAGTCAGACAAGAATTCTCATGAGATAGGGTTGAATGAGTAAATGGCAAACTCAGAGCCCAGAGCTATTTCTGGGCTTCCAGACATCATTCATACACAATCCATGTTTTTTCCTTTGTCAATTTGATGGATTGTGCTTTTGGGTTTAGTTCTGCAATTAGTCATGAAAGTCATCCTAGGAAGAGGAAGCAAGGGTTATAATTGCACTGTCACAGTTTGTGTTGCACTGTCACAGTTTGCATCAAATTTTGAAGCAGCCTTCCCTCTCACTTTCTCAGGAAAGTATTGTATATTTCTTGGATCTGTGAAGCATATTGGATCAGAGTAATATCACTTTCAAGAGGATGCCCATTGGTGGCTCCACATATCCCCAGATATCCCTAACTGATACTAGCGTAATTTGGTTGAGTTGCAGCTGGATGTGCCAGATGCAAGCAATCTAAAGCAGCTGTCCTCTTGAAAAGTGGGGTGTTGAACATTTGGTCTTGAATTTGGCTCCTTTTGTTAATCTCCAAGGGTACACTACAGGCTCCCCTGACACTTCTCAGTTTTGCAGTGGCCATATGGAAATCCTTAAGACTCATTGATGTTGTTCAGGGTCATAAGCATTCACAATTTTATTGTGAACCTTGTAATATCAGGTACTAAAACTGGAGCAGCTGAAATAGTGGAGTTTTTGCTTTCAATCTTCCCCAAACTTCAGTTTTTTAGATGTGGCCTATGGTGTGCCTAAAAAAGCTTAGAAGGAAGAGATAAACAGAAATCATATTTCTCTCAGAGTTACGATGGGGGGTAGCCAGTTGTATAAGCAGGTGGAGTGAGCACAGAAAGCTCCTCACAATTAAATAGCATTAAGTGGAATGAGTATCTAGTGGATGCTTTATCTTAAATGCCATCAAGTAGATGATCAGAATGGCTAAGAAATTAAGTGGAGCAGCATTGGAGAGAAAAACAATAAGTCTGCGCTGTGCTTAGCACCAGAAGGTGTAAGAATTAGCATTATTTAAAAAATCTATGCAGCACTGCCACTACAAGGAGAATTATAAATGGTGATCAAAGCTAGTCATGATGTTCCAACTGAGATTTAGCTAGTGTTGAATCCTATATTCTATGGCTTGTTTTAATTGGGCTAATCTCATTGAGTAACATTCAGTTTGCTTTCCTCTCACTACTGTTAACTTCCTAGCAAAATATTCCACATTTAATGCTTTGGAAGGATCTGCACATGATAAAGGTCAGCTACTACCATTATCCAGAGAGTTAGGAGTAGGGTCTAGCAGGAAGCAGGAACAAACCAGAATCCCACACATCTCAGCTTCAGTGCCCATCTAACTGATGTGGGGTGAGTAATTCTCTCTCCCTGGTTCCTTGAAAAGTAAAGCTAATTCGGGAACTTTTTTTAAAAAATAATTCATTGAAAACCAAGCCTAGATTACCTTTGTTTCATGCTCTGTAAAAGTAGTGTTACGTTTTTTAGATGTTTTACAAACATATTTTTATACAGAAAGCATCAGCATCTAAGTACATCATCTTGGACATCTAAAATGCTTACTCTCATAGGATTTGAATATTAGCAAACATCCCTGAACTTTAGGCCATGTTATGATCCTTTTGACACCAGTAGGTGAGATTTGTGGGAAGTAGAATTCATTGTTGGGGAGCAAACAGTCCTTGACTGGACATTTTGAGCTATCCCCAAATAACTCCTTCCTTACCTCTTTCCTTTTCTCTCCCATCGTTATGAATTCCTCCTTTCTCCAGAGCCCAGGATAATATCTCCTTCAATTTACTTCTCACTCTACAGAAAGTAGCATATATCTCATTCCTGAATTTCAAGAAGTAAATAAATTCTACAAATGAGATATATGCATTGCTCAGACTTAATTGCTTACCTATCCTTCACACGAAGGAGTGGGCGGACAGAATAATTTTGCTTTTCATTCCCATTTCAAGAGGGGGCTGCTTCTTACTGAGCACTGGAGTCAAAGGCCCAGATACCTCAAGTGGTCCACTTCTTATCTTATTTTGGATGCAGTGGACAGTAAACACAATAAAACTCCTGTTGAATCTGTTTCTTTTCTTGTAGGTAAATCACACCTTGCAATCGTGCAGAGAGTGAATGATGAAGGGGAAGGAGACCCTTTCTATGAGGTGATGGGGATTGTCACTCTGGAGGATGTGATTGAAGAGATAATCAAATCGGAGATTCTGGATGAGACAGATCTCTATAGTGAGTATTAGGGGGCCCACTAGGAAGACATGCACTGGACTGGGGGATAAACAACATCACAGGAACTATAGTTTTGTTTGTTATTATTTCTAGTAATTGTGAAACCCTTGCTAAAATCTCTTCTTCCCCCTCCCCCCAATTCTTACTTATTGAACTTACCTTTTTCCTATTCTCCAGTTAGACCATATAGAACTTGCCCGTCTTTTCCTGTTGTGATTTTTCTTGTGTAGCAGCAGCTTTCAGCTAGGGAATCAGCCAGCAACCTGCTTTGATGACAAACCAGAATCCCACACATCTCAGCTTCAGTGCCCATCTAACTGATGTGGAATGAGTAGTTCTCTCTCCCTGGTTCCTAGTATCTTATTTAGCACAAAGGCAGATTTTTAAAATAGCATCTTCCAGAGTGAGACCTTTCATTTTACCTCATTGCTTCTCCCTTTCTGGAAGACTAATCCTTGGGCACCAAAGCACTGTGAAAAAATACTTTTAATGTTGGATGATGGAACCAGAGTGGGAGATGTTACTATGTATAGTAGAGATAGGAGACTGCAACAATATGGAATCTTATTGATCAGATTTTAGTTGGTGTAGTGGTTAAGCACCAAGCTAGAAATGGGGAATCTGTGAGTTCTGCTCCTGCCTTAGGCAGAAAGCCACCTGGGTGACCTTGGGCCAGTTATTTTCTCTCAGCCCTAGGAAGGAGGCAGTGGCAAATCACTTCCAAAATCTTCCAAGAAAACTGCAGGGATTTGTTCAGGCAGTTGCCAGGAGTCAACACGGACTAGAAGGCACACCCACACACACCCACACACACAAAGGTTTAAGAAGGCAAAGTATTTATCTTCTTCTTTTTAAGAAGAAGAAAAAATAGTCACCTGTAGTGCTAATTGTACATATTTACTTACCTAAATTGTTAAGTACATTCCTTAAGTAATTTAAGGAAATATGACAAGTTTGCTTGAAAATTCTGTTTTTCTTTTCTCTTTCTCACGCTCACTTTCTTTTTTAAATTACATATTATATATTGTGTTTGTAGTTGTTAATCCTGCTAATCTAAGACATATGCTTTGGTAACGCCTGAAATGTATTACACTTGACAGTTTTAATTTTCGCTTTGGTATTATATTGTTGTTTGTATTTTAATAAAGCCCTGCCCCCACGGTCTGTGGCTTTGTGACTGATGGCAGAGTTGATAATACAGGTAGTTCCCAGTTTAAGAACGTATTCCATTCCCAAAGTCTGTTCTTAAGTCAAATTTGTATGTAAGCCAGAACAGTATTATTGTATAATACTGTATAAGTAGTATTGTGTAATAATAAAGCCCTGCCCCCACGGTCTGTGGCTTTGTGACTGATGGCAGTGTTGATAATACAGGTAGTTCCCAGTTTAAGAACGTATTCCATTCCCAAAGTCTGTTCTTAAGTCAAATTTGTATGTAAGCCAGAACAGTATTATTGTATAATACTGTATAAGTAGTATTGTGTAATAAACTCAAATCATTGTGTATTTAACTCTAATTTTGCTACAGTAGTCTCCATTCTTAACTATGGGTCATCTGTAAACCAGGCATTCTTAACCCGGGGACTCCCTGTATTCTCAGTGCTGTAGAGAAATGCTGTCTTTCATTTAAGATACTGGAGCTGTGTCATTGTAAGGCCGGCAAACCAAAATGTTGCAATGAGAGCAGAAATTGAGATACAGTGTCATTTCTAAATTCTCAGAGATGTGACTGTATTTTTACTTTCTTGATCTTCAGCAGACAATCAGAAAAAGGAAAGGATCCCCCATCGGGGTAGGAAGCCTCATGATTTCTCCATCTTCAGACTTTCAGATAGTGAGATGAGGGTGAAGATCTCCCCACAGCTGCTGCTGGCTACTCATCGCTTTATGGCTACAGGTATCTGGCTCTTCTTAGGCTATTGCTTTTCCCTGGACTTTTGACTACTCATTGACTGATATCTGTGCTCTTGGCAAGTATCATGCGTATCTTGAGGGAATTATGTCCTTTTCAAGAACAGAATGACATTTAGGTCTTTTTTTTAACCTTAAGATTTGGCATCCAACTCTTCTGTGGATTATGCTTTAAGCAGCCAGATTCATTTAGAGTAGAGTGGATGAGATGTTTAGAGGCATCATTTTACTTTCAGTACCAACTTTCTCTGTTCTGGGGCAGGTATGATGAACTGAAGACGGCTCTGCGAAAATGGAGCCAGCAACCAAGGCAAAGACCAAGGAACCAGTGACTAGGCTGGTTCCTTGGAACCTCTCCAGATAAGGAGAGGATGGGAGATTGCCCACATGTGCTCCAGATGGCTGCTTCTCACGAACAGACCACAGGACAGCAGTTTTCCAGGGGTTTGAGTGCCGGGAGATGATGGGATGAGCCATCTCACTCACAACTGCAGCAGACCCTTTTAAAGGACACTAAGTTCACAAACCTCACTTTCTAATCACTTTCAGAAATTGCCTATTAACTATCTTAAAGCTATTACAGACCTTCAAAATGACAAGTTTGAGAAGTCCTTATCGGGTGAGTTTATCTTCAACTCTGACCAAAAAAAAAATTAATTACAAACTTAAAACTTAAAGAATTTGAAATAAACAGCAAAAAGCTAAATACGATTTTGATCTAAGAAAGTTATAAATAGATTAAGGATATGTCTGGAATATTAACTTTTACTATAAGAATTTGGAATTAATTATAAGAAACAACCTTGTGGGAAACAGGCTTATTTTCACTATCCTGGCAATTGCAAATCATAACAAAAGATAAGTTATGATTTTAGAAACTGGACACTAGATGGGACTAAAGATTTTAAGCAGGAGAAAAAAAAATACTGAAAGTGTCAGTTAATACTGGGACTTATAAAATGATACAAAACAATATAACATCAGAAATATTAAAAGAGATCTTTCAAGAATGGAGCCAGAAGTTAGTAACTAGAATATCAACTGTCAGTGATGATGCCTGTTTTTTTGGGATAGACTATGTCTAAAAGATGTTAATGAAGGAATGACCGATGTGGAACAAATTTTATCTAACAAGATAGAGAAAGTACAGAATGTGGAACTACAAATGACAGGCCAAGAGAATGATTTGGAAA